GCAATAACGGTTTCTCTCTTGGCTGCATAGTGATAATGTGGACTTAATTACAGTGAAACTACCATTGGCTTATATAAAAAGAGAATTTCTTAAGTGCGTCAAAGTTCTAAAAATGAGGACGACATCAGTTTGACCTGTGCAGTGTTGTTTATGAAAGACACCAATGTTCAAGTGGCTTCCTGATCAGAGGTATATATATATATATATATTTTTTTTTTTTTAGTGCTTTTTTTGCTTTCCAAATTTTTTTCCCATGTTTGTGTAAATCTTTAAAACATCAGTGTGAGGTAGTTGTAGAATTTGTTTCCTTTTGAAATTGGGTGAAATGTAGTTTTACAAATACCAGTGGATCTCTGGGAGCGTGATAAGTAATTATGATAATATTAACAAGAAACAACAGCCTTGCATCAAGGAATCTGACAACAAATTTTTGGTCTAGTCCGAGCAATTGCTTTAATGTCTGATTCTTGGTACTTGAATCTCAGCTGTTTTATTGAAGTCACTGAAGGTGTAAGGACAAAATACTTGCTAAAGGTGGCACTGTGCTTTTTTAAAATGCCATGAGACATTTGCAAAAAGCTCTGTTTGTTTTATTGTTTGTTAATTGGTTAGTGTGTGTTAATGAAAATAATACCCAGCATTTCTGATTTAATAATTAACATTAATTTTCCTTTTCTTGAAGGTATGCTATCTTACTCTAAAAGTAAATACAGAATTGAATCTAGGTGAAATCTTTTTGACCATCTATATCGTTCCTCCTTTCATGTTGCTCTAGGAAAAAACTCTAGTCTGCAGAGGTGAAACACTGCCTCTCAAAAGTACTGAGCAAAAGTTTGGTACAGCTGGAGATAGAATATAAACCTCTTAGTGCCTAGTTTTGTGGAGTCTTTTTTGTTGTTTACATGGTGCCACAGAGTGAAAATGTTGCCTTAGATTGGCTGTACATCTGCATCCGGCTCTGTGGGATTTAGGCAGAGTCTGTGCAATGAATTATTTGTAATTAGAATATGAATAACTAGAACACATAGTTGGAGTAGGTAGGTGAGGGGCTCTGTAGCATTTGGAGACATTTTGGAAACACCATCACTTCCTATTTTGGGTGAACCGTGAGCACAGCGGGGAGACATGGCTTTCCATTTTTAAGAATGCCAGATCTCTTAAATCATCAATAGATGATTCAAGACAATTTACGAATCCTGTTTCAATCCTGGAGAACTTACATCAGCATTCTGGGTAATTGTCTACTGCTTTGCATATGCCTCTGTTTGCTGATCACATTTATTCAAGTTCTTCTGAGCAAAGACCATTTTCCTAGCGGTTGCATGCATGGAAGAAACAAAATCATCTCAGCTCAGTCTTTCTCACTTAAACGCTTACAGTGTAGTGATACAGGAAAAAGAGATGTTGGAAAGATACAAACATACACAAAGGAATCAAGTTCATTCAACAATATTTATAATTGTACAGATGAACATGGTGGTAAACACTGCTGGAAGAGAATTCTGATATTTAAAACACTATGTATATGCAGGTATTGATAGAGATTTTATTTCTCTTGCATTATTTCTCATGGATTCTTTAAGTAAATGCCTCATGTTTTTGAGTTCTCTGATAATCAATTTTTTTCTTCTATTATGGATATTTTACATTATCAGTGTTTTCCTTATAGTGTGGGATGAGTGTATAGACAGGGCTGTATAATGCTAAATTTTATACTGTATCTTTCACTTAAAGATTAGCAGGAATAGAGCTGAATGTTGTTAGATCATTTTCTCAATTAGAGTCTCTGCATAGCCAGTCATTGAAAGTTGAGCTTAGTCACAGTCTGGGAGAAGGTAGTAAAGGTAGTTAGAATCTGTTTTATGGTATAAACACCTCAAATTATTGGAAGATTAAATTACCTGCTCAATTCAGAATTTAAGATGATAAGCTTTCCTTATATAAAGTGGGTCATTTTCTGAACTGCATTTAGGTGTTGAGTCTTGTGGACACAGGGAGGAGTCCTGGGTAACTACAGAACTTCCATAACTAATCAGGTTTTCACTTGAGAGATATCAATATAACAGTAGTGGAAAAAGGGCAACCAAATAATTCAGAGGATTTGACACGACTAAGGAGGAGCTGGCCTCTTGTGCATTCTCACTTGTAGACTATGACTCTTCAGGCAGCACCCAAATAATAGCAACAGTTGTAATAAGATAAAAACATCTATAGATTTTTTTTTTAAAAAGGCCTACAGATAATAATACTGATTCTTTAGGAGGTTTAGGAGCACACTGGTTTTATGAACCTGAGTAATGAGGGCAAATACATCATTCTGTTAGGGCTTTGCTGAGTTCCCTGGAATCATCTGCCTTTTTGCAGGGTCGAATATCTCCTCACTTACTGTCCCATGCTTTGGTCTCCATCAGGTAGTTAGAGTACACGCCAAGAAGAAAATGGCACAGGGCTAAGATTGCTAGTTAGGTGTTAGCACAGACACCTGGCTGTGTCCCTGAGACATGTTGAATCGTTCAGAGTGAGTCATCGAACCTTCTGTACGAGGACTTTATCCTTTCATAGGAAATAGACGGGCCAGCTGAAATTCTTGCAGTTTTTCAACTTTGAATGCTCTAGCAGTGTATTCCAAGTAATTATGTGAAATAAAATAAATTTCTAGTTTTAAAATTGGTTCTAGAAGATATAAAGACATATCATAGATGTCCGAATATGAAGCAACCCTGAACATAAATGGTCTTTGCCTTTTTTCAAAGATAACAATTACTAAAAAGTTTTTTTGGGGTACCAATCACTTACTGAGACCCTATTATGTACCAGGAATTATTCTAGGCTCTGGGGAAACAATGGGGACACAATGGAAGAAGAAAGGAAGAAAAATTATGACCCTCTTAGAAGCCATACCAAATGGTAAAGATGTTATGCACTGTGGAGAGCAATGGAGCAGGGGAAAATCCAGAGATGCTGGCTTTCTCTCTCTGTGTGTGTGTGTGTGTGTGTGTGTGAGCAAGTGTGCACACGTGCATTGAGTGGGAGACACATGGGGGCGCCGTCTAACAAGTTGAGCTAGAGTCAGGTGGATATTTGGGGTAGGAGCCTAGTGTTCAGAGAATTTTAGGTAGGCAGCTGCCTAGCATGTTGAAGAACTAGCAAGGAGGCCAGTGTGGGTGGAGCAGAGTATGTGGGAAGAAAATATAGTAGGAGATAAGATCAGGAACAGTGAAAAATTGCAAAGTAACCATCTAAAGTCTTATGAAAGATGTGTAACTACTGACTGTGCAGATTTAATCTGTATGTCATACGTGGTTGGTAAGGACCACGTAGGGTGATGCAAAGATTGTGGCTTTTACTGTTTAGAAATGGGGAGCTATTGGAGGGTTTTGCAGGTGAGTAATGTAGGAGGGATAAAATTTCTCTTTTATTCTGTTAGATTCCCCAGCAGAGACTGACATGAGACAGAGTAACATGTGATAAACATACAAATTTTATTTAGTAAATTTTACATGTGACCCCTTACAAGAAAACACAAATGTCTAAAGAAGCAGTCAGGGTAACTGTTTTCATAGTAGTTAGACAGAGAGTAGTAAATTATGAAAACCAGCCAGGACAAAGGGTTTGGGACATGGTGGTTAATTGTGGAAAAGGGACTAAGAGATGGGCTACTTTAATGTTGCTTGTTTGGCTGGTTACTCTTGACCTGAACTCTTCCTTCCTTGTAGTTCTGGGGGGACATCTTTCATGTGGGAGTTGTCTTCTGCTTTCAGGAGGAAAAGGAGGGCCAGAGTGCCCTTATTGCATCTGCTGTAACTCACCTGCTGTTATTTCAAAATAATCGACATGCCAATGTGACATATTTTGGGGTGGCATGCTTTGGTTTTCTAAAGAAACATGCAAGAAGTTTAAGAAGGATCATTTTGGCTTTTGAAAGGAGATTGAGGGATGTCTAGGAAACCTAGTTAAAGTGTACTGCAGTAGACCAGGTCAGAGGTGATGAGTGGTGTCACTCTGTATGCATGTATCACATTTGCTCTCTGTGTTCACTTGTTGATGGGTATTTGGGTCGTTTTCAGTGTTTTGGTATTGTGATCAAAGTTGGTATGAATTTTTGCACACTAGCCCTTGTGTGGGTATATTTTCTAGTCTTAGAAAAATCTCTAGGAGTAGAAGGGCTTGTTGTGATGTAGATATATGTTTAATACCAAAGAAACTGCCAAATGGCTTTTTAAAGAGTGTGTCATTTTACATACATTCTGCATACAGTGTATGAGAGTTCCACTTGTTTCACATCCTTGCTGGCACTTACTTTTTTGATGTTAGGTTTTCTAATAGCAGTAGTGGTATCTGGTTGTGGTTTTAGTTTGCATCTTCCCTAATGGCTAACACTGTGTGTTGGGTTTTAATCTCTTTATCCAGAATGTTTGTTTTATCCTCATTGTTGGAACTTTGGTTCCTTTCTGTTAAAACTTTTAGAAGTTATCAAAAGATATATTATGCTTTATTAAAAGTTTATAGTAGTCTATATAGTCTTATGGTTTTGTTTTTGGAAATTAATTCATTTAAAGTGAAAGAGTATAATACTGGTATTAAGTTTCAATCTCATTATTTATTTATTTATTTATTCTGGTACCAAGGTTTGAAACCAGGGAACTCAATCACGAGCCACATCCATAGCCCTTTATATTTTTTATTTTGAGTTAGGGTCTCATGAAGTTGCTTATGGCCTTACAAAATTGCTGAGGCTGACTTTGAACTTGTGATCCTCTTGTCTCAGCCTACCAGGTTTGAATTTTAATAAACTTACATTGAATTTCAACTTTACCTTGAAGTCATTTTTTGTCATACAGTATAGTTTAAGTTTCTGCTTTATCTTGTGCCGGGTTTATTGTTTCCTATATTCTGCCATTTAGGGTGAAAATCCATTTCATATGGTATATAGCAGGTCTAGGTAAACATAAATCATCTGAGAATATTCTGCTGAACAGGTGTTTCAATTTTTTCCCCAGGTTCCTGATGTAATCAGTAGTATAAGGCAGTTATCTAAAGCAGCCATGAAAGAGGATGCCAAACCCAGCAAAGATAACGAGGATGCCTTTTACAACTCTCAGAAGTTCGAAGTCCTGTACTGCGGCAAGGTGGTAGTGACTCACAAGAAGGCCCCATCCAGCCTCATTGATGATTGCATTGAGAAGTTCAGCCTGCACGAACAGCAGCGCCTGCGGCTGCAGGGCGAGCAGCAAGCGGATCCTGGCGAAGATCTGGTGGTCTTCGAGGCTGAGTCGCCTGGGTCCCCAGGAGACAGCTTGCCAGAGGAGGCGGAGGGCCTTGCCAACAGCCGCCCTGCGCTGCCGGCCGTGGCCAGCCAGCCCGCCCTGTCCAGCTCCCGTGTTTGTTTCCCTGAGCGGATTTTGGAGGACTGTGGCTTTGATGAACAGCAGGAGTTTCGGTCTCGGTGCAGCAGTGTCACCGGAGCCCTGCAAAGGAAAGTTCACGAGAACGCCCAGAAATCACAGCCTCGAAGGAGACACGCGAGCGCGCCCAGCCACGTGCAGCCCTCGGATTCGGAGAAGAACAGAACGATGCTGTTTCAGGTACCAGCACCGGGTGCTCCCGGCCGGCTCCAGCACACGTGGCTGGACAGGGCACTTACCTCCTAGTTCTTCCTGCTCACTCCAGTAGTTGTGAGAAAGAATCCAACTTTCATGTGTTTTCCCCTCAAATGCAGATAGTCCCGGTGGGGAAAGAGCGCACAGGAAAACCTAGAAGGCGAGAGAGGCAGACATAGAGCATGGGCTGTAGCCAGGAGAGGAAGAGGAGGAGAAAGGGCTAATGAGAGGAGCGTCATGGTGACCTGGTGGAACCTGGGATGGATCACTCTGTATTCCAAGATTAGTCATGTGATGGATGCTCTTCCTATCTATCACCATTGTCTTGAGTTGATTCTTAAAGATTTTTTTTTTCTTTTCTTTTTAAAATAACTGCAGAGAGACAGTCTTTTCAGGATTGGAAGAGGTAATCTAGGAGTCTTATTTGGCATGGAGAGAAAAGATGATCTTTCTAGAGAGAAAGATGAAAACTCCGGAGACTCCTAAGTGTATTTCAGATGAGAACACATCAACTTACTGTGCATACCAAAGGAAAGGTTAAAGAAACACGACTGGCCTGATCGTCCACTGGACTGATTATTGAATGATTTAATGTCAGTCATATTATGGGTGTAAAAAAAACAAAAGAGTTCTTAATTCTAAAACTGTTTTTGAATGTCCTGCAGGGTACAGAAAATGTCAAACTCTACTTAAAGAACTTAAGTTACAACAGTGTTTTGTAGATGGTCTTTCATCTTCAGCTTGTTAACATTTGAGTTTTCTAGAAAAAACAGAATGACTTCCCTTTTATTCTGCTTTAAAGAACCCCAGAAGGAAATTCCAGGGTGTACTTCAGTAAAGAGTCCCAGTGCATAATATTTGCTTTATGCACTAGGACTAGTTTATTTAAAAAAAAAAAAAAGTTCATCCTGTCCCCACCCTGCAAAAAAGTTCATCTTTTTCGGGGGCTGGGGGTCCTCTAGGCTCTTGGTTAATGATTAATGTACCTCTGGTCTTTCCTTTGGTGATAAGTTTAAGTAAGTTTTCGGGCTGTCACATTTTCTCTTTTTCTTAACAAGTCATAGTTCTTACTGTTAATTTTTCTGAATGTCTCTTTATTTAAAAATTTTTAACTTAGTTCAGTTATGTTTATATCATTTCATTGAGTATTTGGGAGAAAGAATGATTATAGTATAAATAAATAATTGATACTTTCAGAAATTATGAAATGAGGAACGATGGCACATTTTTTGAAAGGCAATTTCTCATCTGAAAAATAATTTTTCATCTCATAATTTAAGAGCAATTTAATTTTCATTATCTTTGATAAAGAAAAGGAATATTTTGATATTACAAAACTGATATTTGGAGTCAGAATATTGGTTTGAGGGGTTGGGGTTGTGGCTCAGTGGTAGAGTGCTTGCCTAGCACATGTGAGGCACTGGGTTCGATCCTTAGCACCACATATAAATAAATAAAATAAAAGTTTTGTGTCCACCTACAACTAAAAAGTATTTTAAAAAATACTGGTTGGATTGCATGTTGGAGAACATGTGGATATATCAGGAATTTGAATCTATTATTGCTATTTGAATATTTAGTAGTAAAGTAAGATGTTAGGTCCTTGTGAGTTGAAATTAACTGGAGTACTTTTATTTTCAAGGTTGGGCGATTTGAGATTAACCTTATCAGTCCAGACACAAAATCAGTTGTGCTAGAAAAGAATTTTAAAGATATCTCCTCTTGTTCTCAGGTATGTATTGAGTTGTAAAATAGTTTTTGAAGAAACCCATTAAGTTTTTTTTTTTTCCACAACTATCCACAGAATAACTGGGCATAAACTCCCTCACATTTTAATGTTCTTTAATTTTTAATTTTTTAAAAATAAAATTTGTTATGAAAAATTAAAATTTGTTCATTCTTTATGTAACAAATCCTGTCCAGGTCCCTTAGTGTCCATCCTAACAGTTGTCTTCATACTAATAAGCTCTTTCTCTTTGTCATGACACTTCATCAAATCCCTTCCACTGCTGGAATTTTTTGGTGGTGAGTTCTTTTCAAAGTACTTCACAGTTAGTGTTCCTTAACCTTGGGCAGTGGGACTTGTGGGTATAACTGAGTCATGTTTGCTCTTTATACCATAGCAGGTAGTAAAAGGAGAACTAGGGTTTTCAGCTTCTGCTAATGTAAATCTTAAATTTTGAAAAGAACATTTTTAGTATTTTTGTTCTTTTATTTTTAATTCACAAACTATGTATTTAAATGTTGTTAAAATAATTGATGCAGCCAAATGTGTACAAGATTATAATGTTAGGGAGTTATGGCTCAGTGGCAGAGCACTTGCCTAGCATGTGTGAGGCACTGGGTTTGATTCTCAGCACCGCATATAAAATAAAGGTCCGTGGACAACTTAAAAAAAAAAAAAAAAAATATATATATATATATATATATATATATATATATGATTATAATGTTAGGCATAAACTAGCATCCTAAGGACCCAGGGATTGATAGTATTTTTTTCTATTATATGGATACACAAAATTATTTTGTATGTATAAACATTCTGTACTCCAGTAACTTAGTGGCACATCATTTTAAGAGGAACATATATTATACATTTCTAAATTCCTATTTAAAGGACACAGAAATGTGGTAGAAATTCTTTTTGGTACCAAAGAATTTTAGAAAATTCTTAATTTACCTGAGAAAGAACTTATTAAGTATCCTTATGATATGTTTACTGGGAATTTCTATAAGATCATAAGCTCCACGAAGGCAGGTGTTTTATGCTTTGATGTGAGATGTTAGAATAAAATGAAACTGTTACCTTAGGGGTTTGGTAAATGTTGAGTGAATGGGCCCTTTCTATATAGTGGGTCTTGTGGGAGTGCTGGAGAGAAAGCACTACATAAACCAGGTGCAGTTCCTGCCCCCACAGTACCAAGAGACATCCTTAAAAGCACACATATTTCTATGCCCCCGTGTTTCCCAAGTCTCCCACTAAGAAAAATAGTGCTCATGGAATATCCAAAAGAAACCAGTTAAAAAATTGGAAGAAAAAGAAGATCCAAATATATAAAACTGGAAGTTCAAATACAGTTTTGCTCTTCTTTTTTATTAAAGGCAAGCTCTGATATTGTGGTTCAGGAGAAGAATTAAACAAAAGCATGAGGGAAATTGGTGGAAAGTTCTCTCATTACAGTACCTCTTTCCATGGACTCAAGTTGATACAATGCCACTGTATTAAGAAATAGGCCTGTTTTTGAGTACTGCACACCTACAAATGTTTCTTTCTTTAAAATCTGTATGACTGTTTTCCTGGCAAGCATGGAGAATAAGGGAGTGGCTTTTTTTCTTTTTTTTTTTTTTTTGCTGGGAATATTGCCAGCACCTGAAGACCTGCTGAGCTAATGAAGTTCTGTGAATTTTTCCTATTTAGTACTAAGTTAGTAGAGACTATCCCCACCACACTTCGCTGGTGCTGGAGATGGAACCCAGGGCTTCACAACATGCTAGGCAAGTGCTCTACCACTGAACTACACCCCAGCTCCCAAAGATAATCCTGAATCACTAATGAGTTGTACCACACTGCAACCTTATCCCTCCTTAGCAACCCAGCACGGTGTCTCATATCTAGCAGATTAGCTAGGTTTAAGTACAATTCTAATTCCAGAGTCTGTTTTCTTCTCACTTAGATTTAGGTGATTTTAGGACAACTTTAAACTTTTTGTCTATCTTGCTTTTCAAAGTACTGTGCTTGCTATTAAAATAAGGTCATCTACTTATTGGTATGCATGCATATATTCAGACTGAATGAAAGTGACAAATGTTCTGAATTTTTTATTAAATATAGGTGAGGCTATATAGCCTGGGTCCAAAAAGTACAGTGATTTATGAATGTGAATAATTGGGACCTGTAATAATCTTTTAAAAAAAATCCATCTTTTACCAGTGTGCCTCTTTGAGTGTCTATAAATAGATATTCTAGTATTTCATTCATATTTCAGCAAATTGCATAGTATTTGAATATTGTCAGTTGTAGTTTCTTCAGATTCTTAGCTACGTATAGAAGACTGCTCTTTTAAGAAGACAATAAATTGAAAACTGTTACTTGGAAACATTGGAGTAGTGGTTTTATTACAAGGTTCAGTGGATCATGATATCACTATTTTTCTTCCTGTGGCCCTGAGTCAGAGTGTTTATCAGAAACAAAACAATCTGAGCTGGTCTCATCCTTTATATTATGAGTCAACAGGCCATGTGTACATTTGCTGTGACATTATGTTCCCCATCACTTTTCTGTGAAGGAGAAATTCCTGAAACTGGGAAGGTGTAGAAGCAAGGTGGATTCCCATGGTTGTTAAAAGGACATGTTCCCATAATTTTGGTATTGTTCTTCTTTCCCCTCATCTAGGGTATAAAGCACGTTGATCACTTTGGCTTTATCTGCCGGGAGTCTCCAGAGCCTGGGATGAGCCAGTACGTTTGTTATGTATTCCAGTGTGCCAGTGAATCTCTGGTGAGTGGTGTTAATGCTGACCCTGTGCTTCTGCCAGCACATCTCTCTTACAGAAGGCTTGTCTTTGTGAACCCAGGCCTCAGAGGGAAAAGAAGAGGGCATCTAGGAATATATTTTTACCCTTCTAGGCAGCACAGAACTAGAGAAACAAAAACTAATTGCCGTGGCAGTTTTTAATTCTGGATACTTTATATGGATTTGACAAACCCAGTCATGGTACCAGGAGTAGTTTTAAGAGATAGGAAAAGACTAGTAAGAGAAAAAGCTGTTGCTTTTTCCATTGCTCAGATAACAAGATGAGAAAAGCAAATACTTCACCTCTAAACCCTCTTGCATTGTCTCACACATAGCTTTTGGGAGACCCCTGATAACTAAGCCATAACAACATGTAATCCAGCCTAGTATCTCTACCAGGGCAGCACATCTACTTAGGAATAAGTAAATAAGCAAGGCAGTATTGTCCTCATTTCCTTGGTGCATCTTAGTTCCCCTGCCTTCACGTTCCCGGTGAAAACACTTTTAAGTTAGGAGTAATGAAAAAGTGAGAATGGATTGGTATGAAGGAACTTTTTGACTAGGGCCCCTAGGTCTCTACATTTTTTTCTAGGGAATATAAAATTTCTATCCTTAATAGTTTCTTTTTCTAGAAAGTTCCATTTGAGTTTCACTTTTCTTCTAGATAATTAACCATACTTGGGAAATAGTCCACATTTATACCAGGTGATCTGTGTTGATTAGGTTCACTTTAGGATGTGAGATAGAAATATGAGGGTGGTCATTAGCTAATAATAGTGGAAGGCATGGGGGTGAGTGAACACCCAGTGGGTAGAGGGAAAGAGAACCATTGACAACACTAGAAAAATACAGCCATGTAAGTTTGGTAGCAAAGGATAACATAAGGAGTGTGGCCATCTGTGCCACACTCCTTACTCATCCCTGGCACTCATACCTCCCTCCTTCCCACCTTGTCCCTCCTCCTGTCTAAGGCTGATCCTTCTACCATGTTCTGGATCCCATCCTGCCCTGCCTTTTCAAAACCTCTTGTGGATCCCCTAGTTTTTATTTAGGCAGCACCATTTACCCAACTCTGTAACTTAAGGACCTTAATGCATTCCGTCACCTTCTGTATCCCGTTGTTTGCCAGTACCTGTTGTCGTGAAGATAGACACGTCTCTTTCTTCCATCCTCCCTTTCCTCTGTGCTCTTTCTGGGGATTCTTCTTTATCTAGACTCCTTTATTAGTGATCTTCATGTTCCTTCTGCCACCGGGTTAATCTGTCACCTATAAATTTTCCACATTAAGTTGGAGTTCTATTTCTCACCAGATCCCACAGGAGCCTAGTATACAGTTTCTTATTAAGGGATGATAGCTAGATGGTCCAGCATGTGATGGGGCTACCTTCCTTCTTCTTCAACCTCTTGTGCTGTGATTCTCCACACACACTGCAGTGCCGTGCCCTTCACAACTGTGCCTTCACCCAGGTTGTTCTGTCACAAGCTGTTTTTTGAGCCAAACCACAGAGACTGGTTTGATCATTGGTGTGATTGTGCTTACAGAAACCAGCAGGTGATGAAGTGCATGGGGCATACATGCCAGCAAGGATCCCCCCCTGCCCAGTACTGGGGATTGAAATCAGGGCCTTGCACATACTAAGCTAGAGCTCTACCACTGAGCTACACTCCCAGCCCCAGCCTGAGATCTACGATTTCAATGAGTGTCCGAAGGCCCCTGGAGGCTTGGGGGAGTGCAGCTATGGTTCAGAGGTCACTGTCCACTCTGTAGAGTGAGGAGACGACTGTGGCCAAAGAGGCCACAGCCAGGGCTTACTGCTTCCCATTCTACCAGGCTGGGTAAGGGGACCATGTGGGCCTCAAGGGGTCACCCTCTGCTCTACAAGGAGATTGTGCAGGACTGGAGTTGCCTCTTTAGTGGTCAAGCAGGTGTGGGCCCACCTTACCAAAATCTGAATGCCCTTCCCCTTCTTTCTACTCACGACCCAGCCAAAATAGCACACCCTTCTGAAGCCTTTTGAGTCCCTTTTCTGAGGAATTGAGTCTTTTACTGTCCTGTCTTTAGGACTCTGACTACACTCTGAACAAGTTTCTTACAGTTCCTGCCAAACAACGGTCTTCTTTTATCTGTTTACATTACTAGCCATTCCCCTGTGAAGTTGACAGTTTGGCTTATTTCTCATTCACGTTATATCCTTGTACTGTTTTTGATAGTTGGTTTCTTTCTTTCTTTGTGGGGATTGTATCAGGGCCATGTGTGTGCTGGGCAAGTGCTGTACCACTGAGCTATGTTCCCAGCCTGGTATTTTCATAGTTTGAATGATGGAATGAGCATATCGCTCTTAACTTCAGGCATTTTCCTGGTGTTGGCCAGTCTCTGCTCACTGCATCCCTTGCATGAAAAGGAAGGCTATGTAAACCCCCTTTTATTTCCATTTTCTTTCATAGATTTTTAGTGTCCCCCCCACCTCCAGTGCTTGTAGAATGGGTTTAGAAATGGAATTGCAGAAGGTCTTGGACATGCTGTCTTTCCACCTATCATGCGCTGTGACTAAGGCAACAGACTGCACTGGCTGCAAATGCCCTTCTGTTACTTAAACCACTTTCAGAGTCCAAGTTTTAGCCTCATTATTCTTAAGAACAGCCCCTGCTAGGATCTTTCAAACCCTATTTAATTTTATCACTAATCCTCTTAAAATGAATAATGAGACATCAGATCTGCAAGCCAAAAGAAACATTAACTGTACATTTCTGCATAATAGAGGGATGGCTCAAGCAGCCAACAAACAGAGCAAAACAAAATTGCCAAATAATGTCAGTTCAAGCAGTGTTAGATTGATTGATGTGGCTTGGCAGTTGTAGAAGACAAAAATATTTCAAAAGGAGTGCATGCTGACATCTTTTCTGAGTAACAGGAACACACAATTAGCATTTTCTTTTGCTTCTTTGTAACAGTTGTTATGAGTTGGTAAATACTATAGTGTTCTGAAGGGCTCCAGAGGGTTGCGGTTAAGTTCAAATGCTTAGTGATCCCTCTCGCTTCCTCCTTGAAAGAGCATTAAGAGCTCATCTTGTCTAACCAACTCTTCAAATTTGTAGAAAATAATTCATTAAAAGTGCTTTCTCCAAAATTGATTTTTAAAGAGTGTGAAAAAAATAAAGAATATCTAAATTCCATAGATGCAGAGAAAACTATTCAGGGAAAGTATAACCAAAAGGAAGAAGAAAGGGGAAAAAAATCCATGTTACCCAAGACTCAAAATTTATATGATATTAATAATTAATGAAATAAGCATGGTATTCATTATAAATAAAATATTAGCATATTGATAGGAGAATGAGGTATACAGTCTAGGAAGTTATCTTTCTCTTATATCTGGTATTGATTAAACTAAAAATTAAATCTCTAACTATTAAGGAGCAAAGTTGAGAAGATAGCAGGTAAAAAGACAGGTTCAAGTTTGAGATCTGTGATTTCAATGGTAAGGAAAAGTTGTCGATGTTTCAGGAATGAGCAATTATCTATGGAATGTTTTTCATCTGAGTAAAAATGCAAGTAACTGGAATTGTTTAGACTGGGAACTATGGGAGGAGACTTTAGGCATACAAGTGGTCACGTGAGAATTTACACACAATATAGAATGTGACAGAGGGGCTTAAAATCTAACAAACATAGAGAACACTTCAATATGTGGGTGACTGGTTAGCACTGAAGTAGAACATTACCTTGTTAACAGTTGTTAAAATGGATCAGTGCCATTCTTTATTGAATACTTTGTGAATTTAAAATTTCCCAGAGAATTAGACTAGATGATCTTTTGAAGTCTTTACACAAGTCTATTATTCTTAGAGACTTACTTTAAAATGCTATATAATACCTAAATTTGGTTATAATGCTTACGAGTATTTATTATATATTTTCTCCTTCATATCATAAATTAGCTTTATTTGTCCAATATCATGCTTTTCACTGGGAATGTGATTTTGTCAGATGGTAATGCCAAGAATACTTTCCTTTGGTTTGCATATGATTGATTTGTCTTTGCTCATTCCTTAGCTTTTAACCTTTTTACATGACTTACAGTTTTTTGTTGTTGTTGTTTTGTTTTGGTATTCTTAGTGTACTAATTTGAACTTTTGGTTGTTCTGATTTCATGATAGAATATATAGGCCATCTGGAAAAAATTGTGGACTTCAGCAAACAAAACATTTAACATTTTATTAGTCAGAGTGTTGTGGCCAGGAGAAGTTGGTAGACACATTTTAGACACTTTTGAAATGGCTTCTTGTTTCATCTAGAAATAGAGAAGAGAATACAAACATTCAGTATTTCCACAGGAGGCTTTACAAGGCAGTATAATTAAATGACAGATTACCAAAACTAAAGCTATTTATATTACTAAGCCAATTTCTAACCCCTTCAGTGTCTCAAGTAAATGAGAAACAAGAAAATAGAAATAAATGTGTATCTGCATAAATAATTAAATTACCTTTGAATATAAAACAAAGCAAATAAAATCAGAATGCAAAGCATTAAACATGAATCACATTTAGTTTTAATATTAGAAGTATTTATTTTTAATTATAGTGTAAGATCACATGAACAATTCATTTTTATTGATAGAATATGAAATTATTCATAAACCTTTTTAAGATTGGTAATATAATAAAGCATAGCAATAATGGCTGACTGCTTAGTGTTTGGTTTGATCTTTTATTTCAGTCATATTTGGAGAGCAAAGTTTCTTTATATTCCAGGTTCCTCATATACTGAAATGCAGAAGTAGATTAAATTCTTTAGATAATGACTTATTCTTAAACCAGGCCATAGGGGAAGGGGAAGAATAAAGTTAAAAAAGAAAGAGTGGATTGCCAAGTATGACCAATGCTTTTGAATATAAAAGTTAGTTGGGATGAGGCCCTTAGAGTTCAGTAGCTCTGCCATGTAGGTTTCAGAATGTGATCTACGTTCTAGAGTGCGGGAAACTCACATCTTTTTTAGAAAAATATTTTGTTTATTTAGTTGTAGTTGGACTAAATACCTTTATTTTATTTTTATGTGGTACTGAGGATCAAACCCAGGGCCTCTCATGCACTAGGCGAGCGCTCTACCACTGAGCCATAATTCCAGCCCAGAAAAATCACATTTTGTATTGGTGATTAGGTCACAGAAAAGGAAGGTGAAGCCTGAGGGGTTTAACAGTGCCTAAGGATGAGCTGTTAGTTGGTTTCAAAGAAGCAACAGGAAACTAAAAGTCTAGATTGAATGTTCTGGACTGGGTCAGTGGAAGAGCAAGAAAGAAACCAGCTGGATATTTGCAAGCTGCTGGCTTAACATTGAGACCCAGCTTCTAGATACCCAGATGTCAGAACTGTTGTAATTCAGAAGTGCAGTGGTAATCCATGGGAAGCTGTGGAGGTAAGACCAGCAATGATCATAGACATTTCCCACTGTTATTTACATTGATCTTATTTTCCCCCCAGAACTTCATTTAAACACTTACTTTGTTTATTTTTCTATTGAAAGTGATCCAGAAGAATAAACAGTTAACACAAGTGAATGTTGAACCGCTTTTGTTGTTCCTTATATATGGCAGGCAAAACTTCCAAAGAAGTCTTTATCTGATAAATCACTTAATTAAACCGTGTCCTGATCTACTAATTACTCTGTCTATGATAGTGTCACCCTCCATGGGATTTGAAAGTTGCATTCAAGTAGCCGACCAGTATTATATTACACATACTGAAATGATCTTATTTCATCCACCGTCCAATTATAATAGATGAAAGGTCCTACTTTTCAAGTTTAATATTTTGTCCCTGCCAGCTCTGTAGTCATCAAAATTCTATTATTTATTATTTAGTCAGTAAACGCTCACATTGCCATTGGGTTTTTAGTGTTTCCAAGCAAGCCAACTTTTATATCGACCTGAGCTTTGTTCCTTCTTGTAGGTCGATGAGGTAATGCTGACTCTGAAGCAAGCTTTCAGTACGGCTGCTGCCCTACAGAGTGCCAAAACTCAGATCAAGCTGTGCGAGACCTGCCCCATGCACTCTTTGCATAAGCTCTGTGAGAGGATTGAAGGTACAGTATAACTTGGACTTGGCAGAAGAGGAGTTTGCTTTGGCATTTGAGAAATGAGAAAGTCCCTACTGTCATTGAATACTTCTTTGTTTCTATGTGAAACAAGAACTCAAAGAATCAATTCTCATGTCCAGTCAGTTCCAAATGTGCTGTCAGTCTCTTAGATGCTTGACTCTCTCTTCTTTTTTCCTTCTGAAGGCAAACTCAAGGAAGGGACTTGTATTTCCCACAGTTCTTAAGACTCTGCTATGGACACAGTTGGAACTGACCAAATATTTGTTCACTGAATGAAGAGAGCAAAAACCATCACAGCTGTTTAATTCTTTCTTTTGTTTCCTCTCACTTGTTAATGTGTCTCTTTTCTCTAAAGGTTTAGAACTGTGTAAAACTTGCTTGACTTTTAAGAGGTATTTGGGAATGGCAGAGATAATGGAGGTGCTCTCCTGTGTTTTGAGGAGGAAGGAGGGCCTGAGGGAGAGGTGGCCCCTGACTCAACTTATCTTTCTTCTCAACTTTTTCTAACAAAAAAGGATGAAAATTACTGCACAGGAGAGGAAACAATTTAATAAACACTCGTTAAGTGCCCACCGTGGACCAGCCAGTGTGCTGGGCACTGGGTATGCAGACATGTTTGAGACATGGACTGTGCCCCCAGAAGACTTTTGGTCCAGAGAGAGCAAAAGTCACGTGAGCAAAGAAACACAATTCAGTATGATAAGTGTTACAGTAAATGGAAAGAGTACAAACCCCAGAACAGCAAGGAGTTGGCTGTAGTCATTGAAGATGCAAGTTGTGGTTTCTATTCTGTAGGAAACAGAATCTGAGGCCCTTGGCAGCAACAGTGATCAACAGCAGTTATTTGTTGAATATCCAGACAATTGTGTGACTCAAACTATTTCAATTCAGATTTTAAAATTTATAATTCTAATTTTGTAGGATGCACATTGTTTTCAAACTTATAACATGTTTGCAAAAATGGAACATTCTGTTTTGAATGGTTAAGGGAGTATTATTAATCTGTGACAGGGGTCAGGGGCTGATGACGGAGATGGTGTTAGATTAATTAGCTATCCAAAGGGGAAAGATCCTTTTCACTTATTCAACTTACAAGACATTCTAGATGGATCCAAGTCCTCAGTGTAAACAATCCAAATATTAAAATCATTAAAGTAAAACAAGAAGAACATTCTTATTACTTAAAAAAAGAGGGAGGGCTTTATTCAGACACCAATGGCAGGAACTATCAAAAGACATCCACAGATTTGACTTGACAAATTGAAGTGTTTACCTAATAACTGCTTATTTGGAAATAGAATGATAAGAAACAAACAAGGCAGTAGCAAAGCAAAGTACTAGTCCAGAATTTGTAAAAACTTTATAAGAAAATGATAAAATCAACTCAGTAGGAAACTGTGCAAGTCACCTTAGAAAACACTTCTCATAAAAGGAAATTAAAAGGTCAAATAATGAAAGTGAAAAGTTGCTGAACTTCACTGGATGTCAGAGAAATGAAAATAAGAACAACAGTAAGGTACTCATCAGGGCAATGTTAAGAAAAATGTTATGGATTTTGGTATATCTACATAATAATGATGGAGTATAAATTGGTATAGCCGTATTGGGGAGATAACTAATATGAACTCATTAACTTGAAATCGTGCATACCCTGTCAATCAGAATTTCCATGTTTTGATCAGAGATACAAATATGGGTGCCCAAACTGACATTTTTCATGGTTGTATTATTTTTAAATAATGGAAAATTAGAAAAAAATTTAAATTTTATCAGTATCATCATTGAAGCACGTTTATATCATGAAGCAATTAATGAGAATGAATTTAAACTGAATGGCAACATCAGTTTATATTGTTGAATGAAAAAAGAACTTGCTGAACAATAATATATACAGCATATATGTTATATCTTGAAAAATACATATATGAATAATACAATATATTACTTTAAAAAAATCTTGATTTTTTTTTTTTTTAGATTTATGGAAAATTTGAGAAGAGCTTCCAAATATTCCTCCCCCATTGTAAACATCTCATATAGCCCAGCACAATGATCCAAACCGGAAATTAACATTGGCAGGATGCTGTTATCCAAATGGAATGCTTCATTTGATCTTCACCAGTTTTCTGACTAACGCATTCTTTTTGGCTTTGGGATCCAGGCAGGGTCCCACAGTGTGTGGGGTTGTTACTTTGCCCTGGTCTCTCACAGCCTGCATGCACTTTTTGTCAGTCTTCCTTATCATCTGGGGATGTGAATCTGTGTCATAATATATGGAGAACCTCTTGAGACTTTTCCAGCAATTAATAAGCTAGAGTCATGAGTCGTTTCTTCAATCATAACAGATTTTACTTTTCTGTATGTGATCAAGAAGACTGGCATGGAAGTTTGTTGTGTTGTAGAAAGAAAGATGGAGGTGAGCAGTTTGCAGACACTGTTCTTCTTGCCATTTCATGGCACACAGTAGCTTAAAAACAGGTGTACTTGTAGCACACTGACAGTGGATCAGCTGTGTACACATTCTGGCAGTCATAAAGAGAATTTTACTTTAAACTAAAACAAAAAAAACAAAAACAATGTTTTAATACTTAAATATTTAAGCAGTTGTTTTTAAAAAAATTTAAAAATGATTCTCTCCCATTTATTCCATGTGCACTATCTATCTGTAGAGATCTAAACAGCTTTTTACTTCAAAAAAGGGGCAAAATGTGAACGAATCATTTTATTTCAGTTACCTCCCACCTCATATTTTCTTAGAAATAAATTCAATTAGAAAACTGTACATATATTCTAATTCAAATTATGATATTATTTATTTCTAACCTCTGATATAACTTACCAAAATAAATTTTTTTAAATTACTTTGTCTTACTCTTTGTAATTAACAATAATGAGTACATGGTTTAAAACCAAGTAATAATGTATTTCATTAAAACCTGAGAAAGAAAACCTTATAATCATGATTTTAAAAATGCCAGTCCATGCATAAGGTTTATTTAATATTATATATAGCTACATATTCTGTTTATAGTAAAAATAGTGGCAGTTCTTTAAGTGACACCTAACAATGCAATGGAACTCTTCCTTAAAAACGGATGGTCACTTGAATCATTGTAAATGTGAATTAAATTTCCCTTCAAGAAAAAATTGCAGAAATGTTTTCAGGGAAAATTTCCCCTTGAAGACTTGATATAAATTATATATGGGAGTTAGAAGGATTTGTTAATATCACACTGTAAGGATGTAAATAACCTTCTTGGTAAAATAATAGCACTAAAAGTGCACTGAATACTAAAGCCATCCTTGAAACCTTATTCCTGCAGAAGGAGCCCCCCATGATGGGGAGAGAGCCTGACTCAGCTCTAGTACAATAAAACATTATAATTATTATTTTTTCAAATGTCAAGTTGTAAGCCTAGATAGTTTGGCCACAGTTAGCATTTAGCTTCTGTTCCTGTGGCACGTCCTGGGATAATGTTCATCTGCCTGTGAGGTGCCTCTCTAGGTTTGTTAGTGTATTAAGTGGTATGCTTGGCCTCACTTAGAAGTTCTTTGTTAGTAATTCCAACTCCAGGTTTGCCGTGGAAGGCTATTGATTTTGATGGAGCGTTTTGTTACCAGGTTTTAATCATCTCGATGTCCTGCTCCAGGGTTTGTTGGAGGCAGGAATACATCTCCCAGAGGAGACGGAAGTGGAGAGCCTGCTGGGGAGGAGTGAAGTGCAGCCCAACAGACTTAGATCTCCAGGCAGCCTCTTCTCATGCTTTCCCTCATCCTTTCCCTCAGGTCTTTACCCCCCAAGAGCCAAGCTGGTGATACAGAGGCATCTCTCATCACTGACAGATAATGAGCAAGCTGACATCTTTGAACGAGTTCAGGTAACATTATATGTAGTTCTCATACATAAAATATAAGGAAAAAGAGGTGGATCCTGTTGTTGCCAGTTCCTTTTTTTGTCCCTCTGTTTGAAGTGAAAGCTGTGCGTCCTATAGGACTACTTGGTAGAACCAGAAAGCCATTGTTACATTTCCGTCTTTTCTGTTAGACTCAATTGAGTGAAAAGAAAGATGAGAAAAGCTGTGTTGCAAGTGTACTCTTGATTTGTCTGTTCAACAGAAAATGAAGCCGATCAGTGACCAGGAAGAGAATGAGCTTGTGATTTTACACCTCAGGCAGCTGTGTGAAGCCAAGCAGAAGACACATGTGCACATTGGGGAAGGCCCAGCGGTGAGCAGATGTTTTTTCCTTTGACCTATTTTTGTTTATGTGTTTATTTAAAATAACACAGAAAAAAAAAATGAAAGAAGAGTATTTCCTTTGTGCTCTCATCTTCTATAGGGCTAAAGAGCAGCATTTTAAGAGTTTATTTGGAAATTTTAGCAGGTACTGGCACATTGAGATAAAATAATAATAGTTTTATAATGTAAAAGAACTTGTGATTTTTGGTTTTTTTAAAAACAGGCATATATATTTCATCATGTAGAGTGAGCATACATTGTTTTATATGTGAGAAAATCCATTATTTTAAAAATATTCATATGAAGATTGTATTTCATCAAAAGCTTGGACAGCCCAAGTGGTAAAAAACAAGAATGAAAACCTCAGTTGTCCCTCGTGAGTGGCCACCCTAGTTGCAGATGGAAGGATGACTTTTCTGTGCTGATGGTTTAGAATTTATTCCCATCTCACAGAGATAAAGTAAGACCACTACAACAGCATCAGAGTGGATCATCACATGTTTAGCTCTTATGGACACAAATGCCCTCTGTTGTTAATTCACTACTTTCTTGCATCCATAACTTCTGGAATGATCTGATGGAGCTGATGCTGGTGTGGACTTTTATTCCCTCTCGCATAGACTAGGCAGAAGCCTTTCAGTCTGATTTCCATGACCTTTAGGTGTTTTTTAATGCTTCTTGGAGGTAAATTTCCCTAAAATGACCTTCACAGAGATGACCTTCAGATGACCTTCATAGAGATGCTTCTCTTTTTTTAAATTCGAATCAGTGTTCTTCCTGTTTGCCTGGCACTTAAGACTGTTCACATTGTTTTTGCTCCAGCCTCACTTTCTCATGTTACTCTCTACTGCTCACTTCTCTTTTAGCTCCTGACTCTGTCCCTTCAGCAATCTAGTCATGATAATTTTGCCAATAACCACCCCCAGCTCTGGGGAAGTCATTATCTCTGTTCTCTACCTGTCTGAACCCCATGTATCCCTTTCTCCCTGACCGCTGAGACAGAAAACCAATCTTCCCGCTTTCTTCCTTGATACTTACATGTGTTTTGTATTGTTATTCCTTACCTCAGAAAATTATAAGGTTTCTCTCTTGAAAATTGTCATGTACCTAAGGACCATGTAGTATGCACAGGAGCCACTTATTTCCATGGGATAAAATATGTGGAGGATCTAATATGTTGGACACATTAGAGACTCTCATTTGGTTTAGTACTATCAGTGAATACTTACAGATCTTAAAGGATAAATAACCTATTCACAAATGAAAATGGAATAATATAACAGAGGCATTACTAGGATTAAATTTTGCTTGCAAGCTGCTTTGTTCTTTGGAACTTATTTTCTCTGTTTTCCTTGCTAATTTGAATATAAAACATGCACCTTTGAAAGAGATGGTGGTACTTTAACTAGAATAACAGCAGAAAAAATTGATGTCTCAAATTTAATAGCCATTAAATGAAGCAGTAATATGTTAGTGGAAAGGAAAGGCATGAAGAAAAGATCTTAGTTCTGTCTTTTTTATTACTTACAATATTAAGCATGAAACATAATCTTTGTGTTCACAGTGTGGAACCCAAATTATTACTTCTTAATGGAGCTACTGAAGAATTCTTGTGTTTTTTTAATGGCTTAGTTTTAAGCCTGTATTTAAAGCCTCATTTAACCTTGAGTATGTCTAAACTAAAATTGCTATGTTTTTCTTTCTCTAGACTATTTCAAATAGTACAATCCCAGAAAACGCAGCAAGTGGTGGAAGGTTCAAACTTGACATTCTGAAGAATAAAGCAAAGAGATCCTTAACTAGCTCCCTGGAAAATATCTTCTCAAGGGTAAGGATAAACTGAAGATCTGTTAGTTAAACATGTCTTTGTTTTCTGACTGTTTGGCTTTATTCTTAGCTAGCTCACCCAAGATTTACTTTAAAAAGTACACACACAAAAAAAACCTATTAGGATAACTTTAATTTAGTTAATTCTTAAGATAATCTGCTGAAATAAATTTTCTTCTGAGATCTAGATTTGTTCTGGGGCCTCTCATGTGTGAAACTGAGCAATAGAGATTTACTAGTAGAGACATGTATAGAAAGGGGCCATAGAATACTGAAGCTCAATACTGTAAGAACTTTTTATCATTTGTCATAAACTTAAAAAGAAACCTGCCCTTCTTTGGCCCATTCTTAAGGGTTGATAGAAAATGCTAAAAATAGCATAAATTAGTGGAATTTTTTTTTAATCTCATTTAGTGAATTTTCATATTTTATTTAAATATAGGCAAAATCTTTTTCCTTCCTTTTCATTTTCCTCTTCCTGAATAATTTAGTCCTAAAGCTGTAAGTCGGCATCTTAGGGCAGAGAGTAGGGGTGGCTCAGAGCAGGAAGACACAGAACCCATGGAGGGGTTTGGGGCTTGGGAGCCAGAATGGTGAGGGGGCTGTTGGCAGAGTAGAGCAGCCTGTTTTGGGGCATGGGAGCCTAAGTGGCCAAGGAGAGCATGCCTGTAGAGGGAGGGCCCATTACAGGCAGCAGAACAGAGTTAAGGTAGAAGTGTTCCTATACAGGGAGGTAGAGTCCATGCAGAGTGAGGAAATGCACCTGGGGAATGGCAGCCTCAATATGGGGTGTTGCAGCCTGAGGGGGTTGAGGAGAATATTCATGTAGTGGCCGTTGTGGAGCTCAGTCACACGCAGGGGAATGTCCAAATAGGTAAATATGTTAAGATGTGGGCTCCAGGGAGAAGGGAACTACAAGTATGAAAAGAGGAAATCTGAATGAACCCTGTGTTATTGGATTCAATATGCACTCAGAGATGCTTGTGTGTATTTGTGTGGGTATATTTTGTGTGCGTGTGTGTGTACATGTAGCCCCTGGCTTTGTTCACTGAGAGAACTTGGGAGTTGTTCTTCTGAACACATCAGATAATAAGCCTGGTTGGGTGGAATCTAGCATCTATATTATTATTTTTTTTATTGTTGTTGTTGTTGTTATTATTATTATTATTATTATTATTTGATAATGGGGATTTAACCCAGGGGTGCTTAACCACTAAGCCACATCCCCAGCCCTTTTTATATTTTATTTAGAGACAGGGTCTTGCTGAGTTGCTTAGGGCCTTGCTAAGCTGCTGAGGCTGGCTTTGAACTTGAAATCCTCCTACCTCAACCTCCCTAGCCGCTAGGATTACAGGCATGCACCACCATACCCGGCTAGCATCTGTATTTTGTATCTATCCTCCTGTACTAGTAGGAACCAGGGTCCTGGGAGAAGCAGTTCTAGAGCTGCAGGAAAAGTACAAGTCTGGAACATCTTGGCCTTGTAGATAGTAAAGGAGCATCAGAGAACCATGGTGATGGTCATAACAAAAACTTAAAAGGGCTGTAACTGGTGCCATCTGACAACAGTATGACCATCCAAGTAAATGACAGCAATGTAATGATTCTATGACCCATTGAGTAGGAACCATAAATTTATTCTGAGATGAACTTCAGTACACTGAACATCTGCACGTGAGTAGATGCAACAGGGAAGCAAGTAACTTCAGAGCAGAGAGGGCTGCCAGGCACAACCTTGGTCGAGTGATGACTTGAACCTCCTCAGCAAAGCAACACACTGAAATCCTGTGCCTGGGTTTGTTGGAATGGACGGAGCACAGCTTCAGAGGTCTGACAGCCACAGAGGCAGCTCTTGAATCTAATCAAGAGAAAACACAGCAAACCTAGACTGAGGGACAATCTACAAAATAACAAGCCTATTATCATCAGAAGTGTCAAGATCCTGAAAGTCAGGAAAAGACTGAAGAATTGTTTAGACTGAAGGAACATGAAAATTTGTGGAGATTCTGAATCCCATTCTTTTGCTATAAAGGCTCTTGCTGGGACCATTGGAGCTAGAATGAAATCTAAGAACAAAATGGCATTAACGTATCAATGTTAGTTTCTTATTCTTGAAAATTGCATTTTAATGGTGTAGAATTCCTGAATTCCTTGTTCATAGGAAGTGTACACGGAAATACTGAAGGATGAAGGAAACTTACATCCCCCATCCAGATTATTCACTTATAGATTTGGGGAAAAATGTTTTGTACTGAAGTGTTAACTTTTCTCTACATTAGAGATTTTTTCAAAATGATACATGAAAAATTGATTATAGTAAACTTGTCACATGCTTTACAAAGCCCACTTGGGATTTTTTTGTTTGTTTGTTTTTGGTTGTTTATCATGTGAATAAATATCACAGACAATTCAAGGGTCATAAATAATGCCATGTGCTATCAATAATGCAGATGTGTGTATACAGATGGGTGGTAGGTGTTTTAATTCTTTTGAATAGTTTCACAAGGTGTTCTTGATGATTTGTTTTTAAGTTTCTTAACTTTTCTGCTAACAGAGTACGAACATTTTGCCTGCAGTCTGTAATTAAATTCTTCAGTGATCTCTATGTGCCTTTGAAGAAGCAGATGGGGATATAAATCCTCAGACGTTGAGAAGGGTTCTGAAGGAATGATTTAACTCTGTTTGCAAATGTGTGAGGTTTTTTTGTTTGTTTGTTTTGGGGTGTCAGGGATGAACCCAGGGTCCTGTACACACTAGGTCAGTGTTTCTTTTTTTAACCAACTGTTTAACATGAATAACATTATGAGTCCATAAAATAGTTGGATACACTTTGAATTATTCCTTGTTTATTCAATAGAGCATTAAGGACACAGTGTTCCTAGTTTTCTTTCTTTGCTGGAGCTCAGAACACGTTTACAGGTATTTCTCTTAATGATTGAGATTCTTCTGATTTTAACAAAAGCCCTGCAGCAAGGGTAGTCAGTTGTGAATGCCATTACCTTATCAGTGGAAAACAGACTCTTAGGAAAGAACCTCTAGGAAGTTTGTCAGAAATATGTTAATGCAGCTGACCCTAAATTTTTCATGCCATTTTCTTTCAAAATTTATAAATTAATATTCCTCCTTCCGTCTTCCTCTTTTTCCCTTTGTTCCCCCCCCCCACTTGTTACTTCCTTTCTTTCTAAATCCAGAAATGAACCAACATCCATTCATAGTCATCTAGGAACACTGATGTATTTGTGTGTTTGGAGCCAAATTTTAAAAGTCATCTTCTACTCCTAGAGAAGAGGTGAAAAGGAGATGTTTAGGGTTTTAAGACTAAATAGTCAGCAAATGTTGTCACTGGATTAAAGAGACTTCAGGTCGTCAGGAATAAGGCTGCATTTAAAGGCAGTGCAATGAAGTGGTTGTGCAGCCAGAATGTCTGGTTAGAACCCAGCTTTATCTCTTATTACCTGGGTATGTGGTTTGTTCTCTCCAAACTGATATTGAATTTTAATCCACATGTGAGAGTCTAAGAGGTAGAACTAGGTAGGACCTTTAAGAGATGCTCTCATGAATTAATTAATCCATTCATGCTATTAAGGGGTTAAATGGTTATTTCCAGAGAGGGTCTGCTATAAAAGCCAGTTTGGTCAGGTCTCTTACAGTTTCCTGTCTGTTGCCACATGATGCCCCATACTACCTTATGACTCTGACAGCAAAGGAGGTCATGCCCATATGTGACCTCTTGACCTTGAACCAGAACTGTGAGCCCCAAATAAGCCTCTTTTCTTTATAATTTATCCAGTTGTGATATTGTATTAAATTAACTTTGTAACTTCATATAACTTTATAATATATCTAATTGTGGTATTGTATTGTGGTAATGTATCGGACTAAGACATAGGATAACCAGGTTCCTTCCCTTGCTGAACTTGAGTTTCCTCACCTGTGAGATGAAAGCAAGGGTGTACTTACTGCCTAAGGACTTGGTGAGGAAGGAATGAGGAGATTTACAAGAAGTGCTTGGAATTGGCAGAGAGTGAGCCAAAAGGGTAGCTGTGATGATTAAGACAATTTTGTGTACAGAGGAGCAGTTAACTCTGAGCTGCTGCGTGACCATGTTGGAAAAGTGCCTCTTTGAATTTTTACGTTGATTCTATGACATGCCAAGTAGCATTTGTTGGAATTCACCAATGTGTGGGTTATACCATTACAAGGTTTCTGTCGTAATTCAGTTTTATTGAGTTATGCCACTGGGAAAAATTGCTCACAATACATGGCTGAGAAAAGAGTAGATGGCGATGTAGAGCTTTGACAGGATGCACGTTAGCTGGTGAGTCATTCATTTGCACGTGCCCTTTGTGAGGACCAGGCCACACTTGAAGCATCACAATCCTTAGAGAAAATTCAGAGGACACGCCTGGAGGATCTGAGAGTTAGACTTTGGAGAATGTACCGTAAATCAAGGCATTTCTCTTTCTTTTAATCTTTTATAGGACAGACGACATTAATAAGTAAGTTAAATAACATTAATAAGTAAGTTAAATATTTTTACTCATTTTTGTTTTCATTTTCTTTTTGGTTGTGGTAATCTATACATATAGTAATATAAAAAGTCCCATTTTAACCACTTGAAATGTATAATTCAGTGGATGTAAGCACATTTATTTTGCTATACAACCATCACCACCATCCATCTCTAGAACTTTCTCCCTCTTGCCAATACTCATCTTCCTTTTACTCTCCCACACCCGAGTTCCTTATAACTATCATTCTACCTTCTGTTTCTGAATCTGTCTGGTCTCAGTGATTCATTATAAGTAGAATCACACAACATTTGTATTTTTGTGACTAGTTTATTTCACTTACTATAACATCTTCAAGTTTTATCCATGTTGTAGCACTTATCAGAATTCCTTTGTTTTTAAGGACCTGAAAACAGCATACTACAGAGACACAGCCACATCAATGTTTATAGCAGCCCAATTCACAATAGCTAAACTGTGGCACCAACCT